ATTGCACCAGTTGTACCACATAGCTATTAAGCACACACAGTGACATATAGGGAACACCCCCCTTCATTTTCCAAACAAAAAGCACGCACAATTCCACACACATAACCCACCCGACTCTAGAATGGAATAGTTAAGTTGGGAAGCAGCCTCCAACAATCATCTAGTCCAACTGCCTGAAAACAGATACCATAGCTAGAATTAAACCCCTACCCTTCCAACTCCAGTACTACCTTATTACATGCTAGATGACCCAGAACTCCAGGCTTTTCTGTTCTTCTGAGCTCATTAAGCTCACTGAAAGCTGACACTGCTCATCCTTTGCTGTTCCAGCATCTTTGTAGATCTCCTATGTAAAACACTTGTCCAAAGAGAGTGGTATCAAGCCTGAAGTCACTTCCTCATAATGAAAGAGTGGCAGAAAAGCCAGAACCATGGCCAGGTTTGGGAAAAGCCTAACAATGCAGAAGATGAAGGGCATTTGAAACAATACAGCTCAGTGCAGCACAAGCAACCTGGAAGATGAGGTGGCACACAACAAAATAATAGTATACACACAGTAGCAAAAGTCAGAATTGTGATGTGGAAAAACATACTCTCTCCCTCACCCTCAACACAGAAGCAGCTGCAGAACCCCAGGATGGACGCCTGCAAGCACCTCCATCTGAGGGTGCCAAGGATATCTGAGAGCGCCACAGCCCTAAGGACTCACAATGGCACTGCGTAACACCTCAGGGCCCTGTCAACCCCACAGCTCTCAACCGGCCCCAGTATGAGATGAGGCACTCAACTCTGCAGCTTATTCCCATCAGCATGAGGCCACCCACACCTGGATCTGTCATCACTGGCCTCACTGGGGAGATGTGGGACCACCACTGAGGATAAGGTACACCTGTGAACAGTCAGAACCAGCAACAAGCTGTGGCCATTCCCTGTGTCCCTAAACCCCCGGAAAAAACATGGTGCAGGCACAAGACAGCACCAGCAGACAAGACAAATGCATGCTTGCACAGACGCTTGCATGAACACATATATGCTTTGTGCTGACACAAATACACTTGCATGAACCCGCAAGAGCTTGCACAGACAGACGCTCCCACCCACGGACAGAGATCTCACAGCACAGGTATATGGAAGACAACGAATCCTGGCTGCTCCCAGCCTCTACCCTTCCATAGCTCGGGGAGGTCTGGGTTGCAAGGCAGAGCTCTCCTCTGGGAGGCAGCTGGGACTTGCAGTAGCATTCTTCCCAGCTGACACCTTCAAACCCTCTGCTCTTCACTGATTCCACAATATTCCCTCATGTCACTCCTTCATTCACACTGGAGCTCAACAAGGCTGCAGGACAACAAAGTGACAATTCACTTGAACCAAATTTGTACACGGAACTGCAGCTACTGAAATTGCTCACCCTCATGGAATGCTATTTATTTGGATGGAGGTAAGAAAAAAAATTTTAAAATATCCTTCAATTCATCAATTTATTAGGCTATCAGAGCTCACACTTGTAACTCTAAATGTATTGAGTGCATATGAAATACTATCTGCTTCACTGTATATGATGTTTTATTAAGCTATACCAACTAACTCAGAAGGGATTAAACATTGAACTTTTATTACAAACCTGAATTAATTTTCTTCAGAAGTGAGTTAGAAATATTTTCATGTATGCCTGGACCTTCACTTTTCAAATGAATGTCTGAAAGAGAGCTGTATTTCAATTAACTCCTGGAATGATACTTCTGAGTGTTGGCACTGAATACCCAATGACTAAGGTTACCAGAATGAGCACAGAAATGTGAAATTTCCTTAGCATTCCATTTTCTTTCAAGTCTTACAGATGACAGGCCATCTCATGTAATGCTAGCAAAGTTAACTCTTAAAATCACATGAGTTCATTTCAGCTGTTAAGGCACATCCTTTCTTCCGCACAAGTTAGTTTTACATACTGTAACAACAAACTAAACTCAAGGTATTTCAACACACTGCACTCTTTGCAGATACATTGTTACTGTAGTAATTAAAAAAGCTAACATAAATATTTATAGCAAATACAATTCCAATACATATATGACAATTTATTGTACCACCATTCATATAAAGCATTTCAATCCAAAATGGTCAGAAACAATCTTAAATATCTGCATAAGAATTTACAAACATTAGTAAAGATATACCACAGACTATAGCTTTCTAAGTTTTCAAGTGTAAGTTCTGGTAGATATCCATGTTTAAATGAAATGGACAATACCAGTAGAGATGCATACCTCTATTGTCTTTATTTATAAAGAAGTGACAACACTAGAAAACACATTGATAACCAGTGCTTTGAACGGTGAAGGTGGGATCTAAAAAAGTCTAATTAAACTAAACAACCTTAGGTCTTTATCAAGTTGCATATCTGCCAGGAATGCTGAAATGCAAGAGTTTACACCTGCAATATTCCATAATGGAACAGCCACATAATATCAAATATAATCTCCAATTCCCAAACCAGTACATAAAAAAGCCATCACTAACACTAAGTATTAGAAGACCACTGCAAGTTCTTATTGCTTTTTGAGTTAAATAATAATCTTCAAATAAACCAAAACCCAAACAATCTCTACAGTATCTTGCTCATCCTCCTGTTCATTCATTAACACTGGAAGCAATCAGTTATTATATGATGTGGCAGCAGAGGCATTTAAAAAAATCCAAACAAAACCTATTTAAGTACATGGACATTCCCACCCTCCCTGCCCACCCTCACCCTGAAGCCCACTATAACCACTTAGTGCCAGTAGAGGAGCAAAACTCGATAGACAAAACCAGAAATCTGACTACAGTAAGAAGGAAACATAAAGGGAGATAATAGCTTCCTTGAATATTCAAAATCTGATGTCTTCCAAAACAAAGCACATCATCCTCATAATTTAAAAAGGGAAGTTGCTTTATGTGTATCTAACCCTCACACATGCTGAGTAGTTCTCAAGTCCACTGAGTTCCACTGTGCAGCAGTTGATTTTGAATTCAACAACGCTTCAAAAACTACAGTAATATTCAATGCGCTTTTTACTAAGGAGAGGAAAAAAAATGCATGTTGAAGTTGTTCTTGCCAGTTCAACAATTGTGCAGCAATTCCATTTATCTCTTGCAGTATGAAAGTTGTACTCGCATCAGTCTTCAGAATCATCCTCAGAAGCTGTTGGAACAACACAGTATAATCAGAAGCTTTGACAAAGGTCTGTGAAATTAGACCACTTTAAGACGAGTAGTAGAAATAAAGGTAATTTTATAGTATTAAATAGCACATTGTAATACCCACCCAAACCTTGTGTAATTACATAGCTTAATTTTTAAATGCACCTCATATCTGAAAAACATACCATTTCCAAATCAAAACTTTACATTACAAAATGCAGTGTCCTCCTGCTGTTCTTCCTCAAAAGAAAAGGAAGAAAACTTAATTACGCCAGAGATTCAACTTTTACGTAGTGTTTACAGTGGCTAATTCCAACAGTAGTCAGAGGAGAATATATTCAATCCATGACAGCAGCACCCAACACAAGGGAAAGAAATGACTCACAAAGTTAACAATTTGGATACTATAATATCTAGAAAGGTTCAGCAGTCTAAACAAACAGAAGGGCTCTTAAATTTTTATACACACACATATATATATATATGTTGCTTAATCCAATTAAGTCAGGCCTACTTGGAAGCAGCTCTTCTCTCTATCCCCATTCTTTCAGCACATGCAAAATGAACATAAAGCCCATATACGAATAGGATTTTGTTGTTGCAAGGTGAAAAGACAAATACACACTTGTCAACTATAATAAAAAAAGTCAGTACACACATCTACAATAGGGTTGTAAAGCATTAGCTTGTCCGTAACAGAAATTTAATCTGCCCTCTTAAGCAAACTCTGTAGTCAAGAAAGCATTTACACTTGAGTAACTTGTTCCATCTCTGAATGCAGAAAGAAGCAAGGTCTGTCTCCTCACTTCTCCAGTTCTTAGAAGAGAAATATAACTAAAGTAGCACCAGTAACAAATCTAAAACTCAGTATTCCTCACCTGCAAGTCAGATAAAGCCTGATTCAAATATAGATTAAATTACAGTGTAAAATGGCACTCATTAAGATTAATTTTTACTCTAATAAGGATGCACATAACTTCAGAATAAATTCTGAACTCAAGTCCACCTCTGTCTGCTCCGAATGCAGAAATAACCATCTGTTCCTTGAGCTAAAACTTACACACACACACAACATTCCTTATCATACTCCAGATACATCCTATGCACTGAAAATTCATACACAAACTTTATTGATAGACGTTCACATGCACACTAGGAAAAAAAAAAAAGGTAGATCAGCTATCCTTCTACTGCCTATTCATCATGCCCAGAAATAATACTTAGACTTAGATTCGGGATATATTTACCAGAAATCAACATATATTTTTAAATTTAAGCATACTGAAGAAGCAATTAGGTGAAAAGTAGGCTAGTCCTTTGCCAAAATTGGCACAGCTAAATTTCATTCTTCAAGTGGATAGGTCTGATCAAGGAATACAGACAATCAAAAACTGTGTGTGGATCGAAAAAAAGAAAGGGGAGAAGAGGGCAAAAAAAGAAAGGGGAGAAGAGGAAATGGCAAGAGATGTATGGTAATTTAAGTGCAGTGAAATTCAACTTTAAATATTTCTTTTCTACTAGGACTCATGTAAAAGGCTACAACCTGAAGGTTACCACCAAATCCATAACGATGTACTACTATAATTACAATAACCAAACCATAAATAGTGAGGAATCTTGTTATCACTTGCAGAAAACAATTCTGTGGTCTAAACAACCCTATGCTGTTGGGAAATTAATCATGGAGAATTAAAACCAGTTCCCTCTCGAAATAATTCTACTGATAATGGAAAAAGCACTGCTGGGTAAAAGTCAAATTTTCAGTATTTAAGTTCCGTATTATGAATCTTGGCAAGGAGGATTGTACTCATTTAACTTTGAGTTGACCTAATGGGAGGGGAGGGGAAGAGGGGAAGCACCTACTTTCAATATCTTCCATATGTGCCTGAAGAGTTCTTGCAAGGTTAATAAACTAGAAACAAGGCAGAGAGAAAGTAGTTTAAAAGTTGCAAAGTTATCTGCAGAAATTTGCAACAAGTTAGCAAAGTTTTCTTCACTTTTTCTTCACTTTTTACATCCCAAAGCTTCATCCCAGACGTCAGTTATCCTAACCCATTTGCCCAACTTACAAAAATCTGTGCAAAATTCAATACAAATCTCCACACATTAGACTTCAAATTGCTACTGCACAGTTATTTCAGCTTCCACTGTATGTCAAATGTTTCTGGTAGCAGTTAGTGGCATCACCTTCATGTTCTACAGTCTGTAAAACACATCAATTTTGAAAGTAGCACACATAAACAAGTGCCAGTTTTATGAAAACCGGTCCTAGAAATTGCAATGCAAAAAAACATAATCTGTAAGGACTGCATTAGTTGGATCCATTTCATTTACTTCACTATTAATATGACAAAACAGAGCCCTCTGACTGAATAAGGTTAATAAAAAATGCATAAATACACTTAAGATTTTAACTGTAAATAAAAAGTTTCAGAGCAGGATTACTATCAGGCAATGGTAGCAGTTTAATGTTGGAAGTACATGGTATCAAAACCCAAAGCCAAAATCCCCAGGAATACAAGTTCCTTAGGCAACTTTGAAAGTCTCAGCCGAGCGTTGTTTTGTCAATGACAATCTACATTACTGTTTCAGTGATAGTTCAGATGTTTAAGATACAGCAAAAATGAAACGAGAAGGTAATGCTACAGTTTCCATAACTCAGCTGTACGCTCAGCATCAAAACACGCATCAGTGCTCTCACTGGTTTAAAATGCAGTGTCACACAACTGTGTAATGCCGCCTCTGATGAAAAACCAGTAAAAACATCTTATTTCTGCAATACACTCAAGCTAATAACCTGTACTGGATGCTTGCTACTATTAGATTATATGTCTTTTATGTCTCTACACTTGTAGCAGAGAAAACTGGATATTTCGTTTGTGGATCATGGAATACAAGCTCTACATTAGATGTGTACAGAAAAGAGGACCACTGTTCTAATACAGTAAGAGATTAGAGCACAGTCCTGCCTCTACCCAAGGGCCTAGTACCTGCTAGCAATCATCCCAATAAGCATTCGATAAAGTTAATATTGTCAATTCTTTGTATGTAATTAAAAAAAAAAAAAAAAAAAATCAGCTTTTCAGGAGCTCCGTTGACGAAGAGCACTAATTCATTATCTAGTATCAAATAAACGTGTAGAATACAGGATTTCGGAATGAGTCACTGCAGAAATAACTTTGTACAATGATCTCTTACTGGTAAAATGTGTACTTACTGTACTTCTAAGCCAAGCCATTTAAGTATCAAGAATCCAGTCAAATACAACTAATAAGAGTTTTGACTAATGCCACAAAATCAGACTATAGCTAGGCAGTTTCAGAATGTAATATTCAAGTACATATTTAGGCACAATCCAGCAGACAAGCATTGCAAGGTCTAGACCTTTGCAATGTAGACTGGCATAATGAGAAAAATTAATCAAATAAGATAGTCCAACATTCTCAACTGCATGCTTTGTACAGAGGGAGGTTAACCTTCCAGTTTTGCTTAAATTCACAATAATCACGACAACATACGTGCAAAGCAATGAATTACCAACAACCTTGACAAAAATAATTTTGCAAAGTAGTACCTTCAGTTTCAAATCAAACATGGTGTTACCGCATTGACAAACCCAGACCATTTTAGACCTAGATTTGTTAAATAAGCATGCTTCTTGGGTATCTAGGTCCTAGGTTGCTCAAGGTAACAATCTAGTTCCAAGTTCTCTGTACGAGCAATTCCTGCCATAAAATCACTGCATACTTACTCTGACACGTGTGCTGGCCTCACTTGCAGTTCCTAGCATATCAGAAAAGCGCTGCTCGCATAAATGTAACAACACTACAAGGTAGAGACCAGAGCTGATAAATTCATAGTCTGCCTTAAAGGAGATCAAAAGAAACATTCAGAATGTCAGTGATATGTCTGCATATACAACTCAAGAAGTAGAACAAGAATCAAATTTTACTACAAACATTATATATTTGATCTCTAGTTGTTGCAAGAGAATTAGGGAAATGTAATACTAAAAAACTTGAATTACTGAAAAGCTATTTGTACTTCTGGTTCTTCCCACCCAGCCCAGATCTAACATATTATCCTTGAAGATAAACAGAAAGAGTTCTACAAAGAAAATCTCAGTCAGCATGATCAGTTCACAGGAAGGAATCTGAAAATCAGAATATTACACCACTGGGGAAAATAAACAACGTACTTTGCTGGTTTCTTTTCAGTGGTCCCAATGCTTTACAGAAAACCAAAATAAAGGGAAATATTGTAAGAACTTTATGATGTTATAAATATTTTGAGAAATTATCTTCCCTTCTAAGATAAAGAAAAACTTTCAAAATACTACTGCTGATCATCTAGAGTCAATTCTTTAAGAAGTTTCAAAGCTCTTATTTCTATCAAAGTAGTGACAGTAACCAACAATCAGTAGTGCTAAAACATAAAATGATGGCACTCTCGAGAAAGACACAGAGTCTGGCCCAAGTGACAGGAACTAGAGTACTAGAGTAAGAGCTTACTCCAAATAATAAAATTAGAGGTTGATGTTTGGCTGCAAAACTGGCACTCATTTCTATTTTCTTTTGACTTCTGAGGTAGGCAAATTTCAGTAGTCTTTCTATATTCACAGAATACAACCCAGAGAAGGAAAACCCTCTGAATAAAGTTCATTAAAATAACACCAGCCTTTTGTTATTTGTTCATCTTTAAATGCTACACAATCCAGTAGTTCTAAAATAATGTATTTTACATAAAGAGAATAATAGTAATGGGCCTTTAATTATTTTTAATTTAGGATAGGACTTGAAGGAGCAGCAGGAAGCTGTAAGAAAAGAGATTAGTTTCCACCACTCTAATGAAACATAGAAAAGTTTTTAATGCTATGTTTAAACCAACTGCTTAAGTGTGTTAAAAAACAGCTGAGACAATTCATGACTTAATGTGAAATTCAATCTAATCATACTACTATTCCCACTGCAGCTATGTAGCAGAGACACTGGACTGCAAAGCTAGATGACAGATCTGCAACTAAAAAAAGGATAAGAGACATATTACACTTACTGAAAGCTCAGCTATAGGAAACACAGCAGGGAGATAGAATTTGCCTGAATACTGAGGAGAAAAATCTGTTCCATGTTGACATTACTTTACGTGCATAACATTCCTTCTGAAAAGGAGATGCATTTTCCTTCTGTAAAGAAGAGCGCCCTCCCAGCACTAAACCAACACTTACCAAATTAGGCAAAATATACTAACTTGTTCATTTGCATGTGCCCTATAGAGTTCATGAATGTCAAAGTCTTCCAGATTCAGATGTAACTTCTCCTTGCACAGTTCACAAGTTGTTACTGCTTCCAAAGAAGAACCTGGTGGGGAGGGGAAGGGAGAAAGTCAGTGTCAAGTTGCAACAATCTATAACATAGGGCACAATTATACAAGCATCACAAACTGTAACTAATTTTTGGCTTTATTTTGCAGGGCAAGGTTAGAAGAAAAGAAAGCCTCTAATTGGAATGTAGTGACTATCGGCTACTGTCAGAATTTAAATGCTATAGCATGTTTATTCTCCATCCAGCTCCACATATTTTGCCTCATGTTCACTCTGGACACCATACACCTCTTACTGAAAGTCTGGCATAAAATCACTGCTTGGGCTGTTTGAATTCTACAGTGCAATCCAAATATACACAAAAGTAATAATAAATGTACTGGAATAGCTTAAAGTTATTGTCAGAGTAACATTTTGTCTTAAAGTACTAGGTTTAAAACAAGCTGCTCCATAAGCAACAAGATGAACAAAGCAAGTTCATGGTGGATTTATGTCTTGCATAGTTAAATGCTTCTAATTTCTCCTACAGGCTGAGGCTTCTAATACATCCCTACTCTGATGTGTGTTCTCCAATACTGACTGAAAAAGTAAACAGATGCTAGCACATTCCTTTGGCAAAAAGTATTCCATGGTTTGACATCTTCTACCAAGCCACCTATTTTTAAGTCTTAAAAATACTACAGATAACTTAGTTTTAAACTGGTCAATCAATTTATTACAAAAACATTTGTACGGTGTGCAATTTCTGAAGTGTTTCTTAAAAAAGTTCTATATACACTTTGAAGTAGTTTTTTGAACAACCAGTTTTAACTGCCTTGAACAGGAGTTAGTATCTTAAAAACAAACAAACAAACAAAGATTTAAGTATAGTTACAACAGAAAAATATTTTTGGATTTTCAAATTCCTATCACTCTGCTCCAGTCAGCCTGGCTATAAAAGTCTTAAAAACTAGAACCACATGCACAAGGAAGGGTGGGAAACAAACTCACCCAAACTGGTAGAGTAGCTCTAAAGCTACACTTCTGTGATGTTATATTTTGACTAATGTCTTAGTAGACAATCCCAAAAATATAATTCTCTGAATGACAAATACAGTTCTTGGAACTACTCACATGAGAAGCTGCACAGACAAACAAGAAGCCTGGAAGTGCCACACTGCTGTTTATCCCCAACTGCTCATTTTTCAAATAAATACCTTAATATTAGTAGGAGTAATCCTCCTAATGTAACTGGAAGTCTACCTTGATCTAGATTCTGCTTTACCTGAATTAATCTTGGACTGCAGCCACTTTTTCATGCACTCCTGGTGAACATACTGCAGACTTCCAGTGCATTTGCATGGCTCTATTAAAAGGTTGTCAGAACTTGCAGAGGACATCTGACAGATTCTGCATAGGTCACCCTCTTCATCTTCAGAATCTTCTAAAAGCAAGCTGAATAAGAAGGAATATCAACAAATGTTGTGACGCATTTCATGTAAGACTTTTAATAATGACAATTCCATTCATCAAACTGCTCCCAAACCTACATGGATTAAAACAAGTTTCTCTAAAGACAAAAGCGTGAACACAGGTGACAGAGGAATGAGTTGCCGCCTTCTCTGAAGGAAAGTTTCCTTTTAACGTCATGGTTACAGAAAACCCTCTCATGTTAAGTCAGGTACATTTTATTATCTCCAAAGAACATACTAATTTACCTCTCTTTAATTTTCTGGAGTCTTTCTGGATCTCTTGAAGGTGGTATTTTAGACTTGCCACTTTCTTGTCCATCAGACTGATTCCAGCCAGAGGGAATAATATCTACAGTTATCATAAGATTGTCAGACAGACTGCTTCCTAATGTTGGAGGCACTGCAAAGCGAAAGAGAGAACCAGGCAGAATTCCAGAACTTCTTCTACTGTGGGCTGAATCTGGTGGGGAGGCAGTAGCTGTAGGAATACCAGATACTGCAGGTGTTGGTGGTCTGCTAACAGAAGCCCGAGGAGGGCTATCTGATGCTTCAAGAGAGGTCTCCTCACCTGACTCTCTTCTTCTGAAGACATGTTGTGATCTGGCAGTTGTATCAGAGGTAGAGATCCTTGCGGATTCATCTCTTCCTTCTCTTCTTCTTCTGGAGAAGAGAGGTGTACATCTGTTCCTCAAAGATGATGATAACCAGGATCCTGTGCTCCTACTTTCAGAGTCTGGTCTGTAACTCTCCCCATCTGAATCAGAGTTATGATTTTGTGAAACTCCTGATAAACCCCATCTTCGTCTAAGAAAACTAAATCCCTGAGAAGCTTCAGATGTCTGAAGTCCTGGAACTTCCGGAGTTGCAGCTCCATTACTGCTCGACAGAGTCGATGCTTGAACTCTTGGGACCACCGTTGATTCTTCAGAGCCTAATGATCTTGTATGCAATGAGTCTTGGTTAGACCTTCGAGAGAAAAATGTAGATGACATACTAGATGCTAAACGAGACAGCAGCTGTCTGGTTGTGCGCCTCCCTTCACTGTCAGCTACAGGCTCATTCAAGGACCTCTGAGAAGATAAAACCCTTTCAGAACCACTTGAGGAAGGAGTTTCATCTCTAATGGCAGTAAGAGAAAACGCTGGCTGCATGCTTCTCTGGGGAGATTCTAATTCATTTCTCCTTTGTCTTGAAGAATAGCTGGATCTTGAAGAGCTCATGTTAGAGTCTCTGTTGAAAAAAGATGGCTGATGATCAGAAGACAACTGGCGGTTCATGGATGCATTCAGCCTCAAAGTGCTTAATGAGTTCTCTTTTGGTCTTGCTCCCTCTGCATACGAAGAGGCAGGCCTGTCTTGAAGATCTGTTGCAGAAAAGCAGAGGAAAATACTATGACAAGATGTGCTCTGATTGTTACATTCCAGATGGATAACTCTAAAGTGTAAATGCAAAAGTTCAGGATTTGTGATCCTTATTCAAAATTGTTTCAAATTTGGCAGGTAGATTCCAGAGCAATGTTAGGTTTAAATTTACTTACCAGAATTCTAAAGTGGAACTGAAACCTAGACTGGTTTCAGCCTGGTAAATCCATTTGGATTTACAGCCCCAAATCTTCAAACTTTCAAGGTATGCCTCATTTTCTTATATGCGAATATGAAAATTCTGACCATCTGTCAGAAGTTACATAAGAACAGCATATGAATCAAAAATGGCAAACTATATACAATACCGTTTGTAACTTAAAGGTCCATTCTGCCTATAGACTGAAAAAAGACGGGTTAATCAAAATTTCAGCAATGTAGCAGACACCAGAGCACCTGAAACAAATGCATGGATAAAGCCAAGTATATTCCCCATCTATTACAACTACCTACCCTTATTCTTCTCATCATAAGAGCATTGACAGCTGCAGTTACAAACACTACTTAAAGGTAACATAAAATTATTGACTTTGGATAACAGAAATTGAATAGTACCTAAATTAGATGTGTATCTTACTGTAATAATGTTTTAAACCAAGAACTCAAAAATAAAAAGAATACCCTAGAAATAATGTAATTCCACTGATCCAGCCCAAAAGGGTTATCTAGCTGTTGCTTTTATCAAAGAAATGCAACAACTAAGTTAGTTCACATGCTCAGCTAGGCAACTGGCTTAAGCACAGACTTAACCATTCTGGATTAGTAATCTCATCTGCTCTCCCAATTACCTTGATTACCTATAGTCAATTAGATAACTATCACCACACTGTTGTGTCCTTCCCTGCTTTTTAAGTGTATGTTTGATCACCCAATACTTCCCAGTAGCCTGCAGGCTGAGGGAGGCGATTCTGCTCCTCTACTCCGCTCTTGTGAGACCCCACCTGGAGTACTGCATCCAGCTCAGTACAAGAAAGACATGGACCTGTTGGAGTGGGGCCAGAGGAGGGCCATGAAATTGATAAAGGAATGGAACATCTCTTCTATAAGGAAAGGCTGAAAGAGTTGGCGTTGTTTAGCCTGGAGAAGAGAAGGCTCCAGGGAGACCTGATTGCAGCCTTTCAATATATAAAAGGGACTTGTAAGAAAGATGGAGACAGACTTTTTAATAGGGCCTGTAGCGACAGGACAAGGGGTGATGGTTTTAAACTAAAAGAGGGTAGATTCAGACCAGATACAAGGGAGAAATTTTTTATAGTGAGGATGGTTAAACACTGGAACAGGTAGCCCAGAGAGGTGGTAGATGCCCCATCCCTGGAAACATTCAAGATCAGGTAGGAGGGGTGCCCTGAGCGACCAGATCTAGTTGAAGATGTCCATGCTCATTGTAGGGGGGTTGGACTAAGTGACCTTTAAATGTCCCTTCCAACCCAAATCATTCTATGATTCTTGTAAGTATATTTTCTGTAAACATTGTGTAAGTACCTCAACACACTGAGAAGAATTCTACTGTAGCTGAACTGTAGTTAACATTACATGAAGCAGCTGAGGAGGCTAACATCAGCTAGTCTCCTTCCTCAAATGGCTGGATTTGGGGGGCATGGGGGAGAGAAGAGGGGGAAGGAGGAAGCAGCTGAAACCCACTAACCTCATAAGAACAGAAACTTCTTCAATATTTTAACTGCTTAACAAGCATAGGTTAGATTAAGGTAGGAGGCAGAAGCTTTCTCTATGTATTCTAGAATTTAAACCTTTCATGTTTGTAGTTTTGGTGGGTGGCTCTTGGGGTTTGTTTTTTTTTTTTTTCTAAATGGGTTCTGCATTGCAATCACCATTTATTGTTGAAGCTGAGGTTTATGCATCTGCCAGACTCTAACTAAAGAAATGTCTGCACAGATGCCAAGCATCTGCCACATGGTTTTGATTACACAGGAGGGAACACAGTTGGGAGTTATTTTTATAGCACTTAACAGTGGCACTACTGCTAGAAGCACAGCATGAACAGTACAAAGCAAGGCTGTATACCCATCCATTTCTCCCATTAGGCTCTACCACATAAACTCCAACTGTCCACTTATTAAAGAAGCGTGGAGTATGATGACATTAAAACATACTCTTCTGGTAAGGCAAGAATGCAGGATGAAATCTGGAACTAGTTTTTATATTTTCTGCTTATCTTCTATACTTAAATTTTTTTTTTTAAACTTCCTTATTATAAAATACCATTAATACATCTGCAAAAGGTGGCAGATCAAGACTGGTGACAAGCTTCCCCCAAGACAGCTCTAAAAGGCCACAACTCCAAACAGAAAGTGAAAATGACAGCGTGTGAGAGACTGAAAGAGTTAATGTCTCAAACATTGTGGTGGGGCAAGTTCTGCATAAGGACCAACTGTGTAACAACAAACCCTGGAACCACACACAGGTTAAAAGAAGCAGATCAGATCAGCACAGATGAGCACAGGACATCAGCAACAGGACTGGGAGGGTGTGCTGGAGAGTGTTCTGATGGGTTGAGCAGGACAGCTCACCATGCATGGCCAAAGATCAAACAATGGTCATGACTGCAGGGAAGGGTAAGTTACTCCCCAAATGACCACCAAGCCCACCAACCCGTTTCCCAAAGGTTCTGAAAGCACAAACCACGCATGACACCTAATTAGCCTAATGAGTTTGAGTGCCTGCCTGAAGGAAGGGCAAGGAGATGATAAAAGGACACAAACTGAAGCCCCACGCACGCGCCCACTGGAACTGGACCCCTCGGCTGACTGGACCAATGCTGAATCCAGGACCGGTGACACCTTTCTCTTTTCTCTTCCTGTCTTGCTCTCTCTTTCTCTTTCCTTTTTCATAATCCCTACACCTCCTCCCTTTAGACATAAACCATTGACCAAGTCTGGGACTAGGAGTGGATCTAGCCACCTCTAGGCTCCTCTCATAGAAGGAGTCTAGAAAGCAAGGGAGTCTGCTCTGAACCTCTTGACTCAACAGGAGGGATCTCCTTCTTCCCTGAATGGATGTATATCTTTACCACGGGTTACATGGTTTACTGAGGTAGTTCCATGCCAATTCCTGTTGAGAGAAACCACACCACCTACTGTTAGCGCCTTCCAAGTTCAGTTTGCTTCTGCCATGAATAAAATGTTTAACTGATCATTTGGTGTCGTTTCACCTTAATTTACACTGAGGGAATTTTGAACAAAACGTGACTCCCTGGTCTGTCCAGCCCAGGTCATGACAGTGCTGAAGTCCATACTAGTCCTAGCACTTACCATGGAACAAACCTCTCACCTCATGTAAAGTACATGTTTATTCCTTTTTATGGTGGTCTAGCAGTTTTCCCTAATAACAACTCAAGAACCCAAATGGAAAGAGATAATACGATATGGGCATCTCCATGAAAACCCTTTCATGAGTCAAATTAATATTATATATTTACACCAATACCATTTTCTTATACTGAATGCACCTACAAGCTAGACCATTCATGTATCCTTCAATGGTTTAGCCAATGCATGGAAAGTGGCCAACCAACTTTATTTAAAAGGATACCTTAAAATTAAATAGATCTTTTGGCTTTATGTTTTGAAGAAAGTATTAAAAGAACACATGAAGAAACTAACAGGCATGCAACCTACGGGTTTACAAGCTTTCAGCTGTACAATACATACATGTTGAAGATGAAAAGTCACTGTTTCTGTAGCTGTGATCCACCAGGTTATTAACAGACAGATCTGTCCTTCTTTCCAACTCTCTTCGCTCTCTCACCAGCTCAGTTCCAAGGGAGCCAAGCATCACTGATGAAGATCTAGGAATCCTGCTATATCTCCAAGAGGAATCTAGAAAGAAAAAGTAAATAAATCCCCTGTTTTTGTAATAATTTAAAAATCCATTAAAGCAAGGACTTATGCAGGCATTCTGGTTATACCATATCACAGGCGAGTTTTAACAATACCATTAAGATGATCCAGTGGCCAGCTGCCAACATAAAGTCAAGAGCAAGCAGCACTCTGCTGATGCTGATGCTTACTTAATCTTGCAGTGAGTTAGTTCTGAAAGCTAAACCAGAAAAAAGTAGTAATACTTTTGTGAAGAGTCAGACCCATTAACACTTGTACAGGACAGGAGGAGGAAGAGAAATAGTATCTTGCTTTCTAATGGTAGCTAGTTATCAAATAGGCTTCACAACATGGCAAAATAGCAGCTTGAGACTTAGTAAATGCTGCCATTTTAATGATGCTTCTTAAACGCTCCTAAAATTCATTTTCCAGAAAGACAGATGAAGCTTAAATGCAGCTTAGACACAACTTTAAGAACAATGACTAATACTGTTCTTGCTCATATTGCAGAGTAAAAACCTCAGTTCAAAAAGGGATCTTGTTTTTTGCTAACAGCTCCAACTAAATTGGGAACTGTACATACTTCAGCTGTGAAAAAAAACTCTTGTTCCAAAAGAAGTGTTCTTCAACGGCTCTGAAAAATCCACCTTGATTTTGTTTTACTGCTAACTTACAAATCCAAATTTAAGGACTGCGCTGGTTTTGGCTGGGACAGAGTTAATTTTCTTCCCAGTAGGTAGCATGGGGCTATGTTTCGGATTTGTGCTGAAAACAGTGTTGATAACACAGGGATGTTTTCATTACTGCTAAGCAGTGCTTATACAGAGTCAAGGCCTTTTCTGCTTCTCACACCACCCCACCAGGAGTAGGCTAGGGATGCACAAGAAGTTGGGAGGGAACACAGCCAGGACAGCTGATCCCAACTGACCCAAGGGATATTCCATACCATATGATGTCATGCTCAGCATATAAAGCTGGGCAAAGAAAGAGGAAGGGGGGGGGATGACGACGACGATGACACATGTTCAGAGTGATGGTGTTTGTCTTCCCAAGTCACCATTAGGCATGATGGAGCCGTGCTTTCCTGGAGATGGCTGAACACCTGCCTGCCGATGGGAAGTGGTGAATGAATTCCTCATTTTGCTTTGCCTGCGTGCATGGCTTTTCCTTTCCCTATTAAACTGTCTTTATCTCAGCCCACAAGTTTTCTCACTTTTACTCTTCTGATCCTCTCCGCCATCCCACCAGGGAAGGAGGAGGTGGGGAGCAAGGGGCAGGGAGTGAGCAAGCAGCTGTGCAGGGCTTAGTTGCCAGCTGGGGTTAAACCACAACACAGTGTGACGACCAACTAATCTAGAAACGAAAAGATAGACAGTCCTACACCATAATGAGAAGTGTTAACGCTGGTCATTCTATTAACAGAGTAAGAAAACATCAACAATACTGGGTTTTGAGCAAGAATTTATTAACTTTATTTGGATGGCTGTGTGGTTCCATAAGGGGATATAAAGAGAACATTGATACATACTCACAAGGGTAATCTGAATGGATCTAATGGTCTGTTTCAAAACATTCCAAAAATATTTTCAATATAAGTTTTTGACTGTTATTTCCTGACCCTTAGACTTCCGTTAGCATATTGCTTAACTTACATCTATCCAAGCATCATATACTTACTTACAGCTTTAATGAAAATCTCAGTTCTTCCTGAAAGAACTCCTAGTGTAGAATGTTTCTTTTTGCCTGGCCTATATAATGAGTTGAGGCCCTGCTTAAAAAGAACTCTTTCTTCCCTGACCCCTAACAACAGTGCTCTAGCCATGACACTGTGCTTCTTGGAACACAGAGCTAAGTAGGTAATGACTTCCTTTCTGCTGTCCCCAGCACACGTAGGTTTACCAGCACAATTTGACTCATGAAATAACAGCAGCTGCACTCATTCTTTCCTTGAAATCTTAACCAATTAAGACATATTTGAACCATGAAGTTCAGCTTTACTGCAAACGGAATAGGTACAGGTAGTAATTTTGAAATTGCGTAAAGTACAATTGGGTTTTCAAAAGACCACGTTAACAGCATTCTCAGTATTTTGGATACTGCTATTGGTCTGAACATACTCTTCTGTTAGGCATATGTTTTTAATATTTAAGAATAATAAAAGCATAATATTTCACAGCAAGTCTTTTAAAACTTGATAAAACCCAATCTTACTACTCAGACAATTTTCATGCAACTCAGCTGTAGTAATCAACCTCTCACCTGAAAAGGCAGTCAAGCCATTACTTCTCACAGAAGAGGTAGATGTACAAGATAGCTTAGGTCTCTTTGAATCACTATCTCGCTGCTGGCTATGCAGTCTTGAATATGCTCCCTGAGTTCTCTCAGAGTCACCATAACACCCAGATGTAAAATGAGAGGAAGAAGATGTAGACTGAAATAACATTAAAAAAAATTACAGACACAGTATTTCAGATGTACTTAAACTGAACAAAAGTGTACATAATGTAAGACTTACAAAAATAGTAAGGAATAACTTTAAGATGCAAAGCCTTTTTATTTAAAAATAATGTAGGATTTATGCTTGTGCTTTTGATCAGTATTCCCAGGTTTACTCAAGACAATCCCACCAAAAAAAAGCTGCTTTCTACTACAATCAGTATTATTTTTCCTTTATAGATAGATGTGGCTTACAGGGGAAAAAGATATTCCTGACTTGTAAGATGCTATAAACATCATCAAATATAGCTTTACAGGTCTCCAAGGAAACATAATTTTGCTGTCCAGAAATGGCCAAAACTGGTCAGCTTCATTATTTTACTTAATAGTTTAACTAATCCACCTTATTTTTTACCAGTCTGATATACTTGGCTAAGGAGTCAGTTCTAGCTTCTACTAAGCTGTTTAGACCAGATATACTTTGATTACATCAAGCTCAACTGCAACTGAAACTGTTCAGAGTAAAGAATGGGAACAAAACAATTTTTGCAGTGTACGGCACTGACGTAAAACAGTTTTCAGAAACTAGTACTAAAAAAAAAAAAAAAACTAAACAAATACAAACTGGGATAGCCTATAAAGCTCTTAGTCTGGTTACTTGCAGCCAAGGCATTCATTTCCTATTTGAAATGCTCCGATTTTATTTTTTGATACATAAAAAAACTTGAGCTCAATTAAAAAGCTCGGTTGAGCTGTTTATCCTCCCAGAAAGTATCTACAACCAAGATCCTTTAAGGATCAACCAAATTAGAGTAGATGTTATAGTTGTGGTTTACTTTTGTTATGTTTTTTACTAAGCTTAGGCCACTACTATTTACTCTTTAAAACTAAGAAGTATCCAAGTATTTCTCTTATCGCATCATAAAAGCCAGACAGGGAGACACAGCAATTAACATCACAAACCACGGACAAAGCCAGGTTAATTTCCCTCATGAATCATCTATTTAACATGTAACTTATCTTTTAATCATTTGCTATTTGATAAATGGAAGTTTCAGAGTGTGTCCTGCAATGTTCACTTGTACTAGAACTTAATTTAAGAGAAAAATTAAACTTACTGGGAAAAAAAAGTGTCATTTTCAAAACTCTACAGCACCAACTTAACTAGATACGTAGGCCACTCACAACCACAGACTCCGTTTGCATGTCAACTATACGTAGAGACACCTACCATGACTTCTCTGAAGGCCAGCATCTCTGCACTACTTCCCACTCCCCGCCCCATCTCAAACCGTCTTCACCTTTAAGTCACAGTAACAAAACAAACACCCATCTAAGGTGTGAGCAGTCTCAAGTACCCAAACATCTTTCAGTTTGAAAGCGACCAGAATTTTCACTTGTTCGCTATCTTCCTGCTGAGCATCTTCACAGTTTTCTGCTTTTCCCATCTTAGTATTTCTACTGCAATTGGAAGTGTTTTATTGTCATTCTACAGTGCATAAGCACGTCAAAGCAGCAAACTACTTTGTTTTTGGAATTATGAAGGCACATTCTGGAGCCCAGTTAAGACAAGCTGTTAAGGCCTGAGCCTTGGATCTCAGTCAGGTAACAGTTCAGCCTCCATTTTCTTTCACAGTATGTTGTAAGCAGCATGTAAGTAAGCACAGTCAGACTATAAACTGCTCCTCCACAACTAAGTTTTCTAAAGCAGGTCTCCAAAACCATGAACTTTGTGTTAACTCACAAAGCAGGTACCATCCAAAAAACACACCCCCTAGAAATACCTGATGGAACAAGCTGAGTATAAATGCTATTAATTTTGCCATCCATAGGACTATAACATGTATGAGATTCTAATCACCCTCTCCTTTTTTCTTCTTAAACGGATACTTGCAAAGGCACTCTCATTTCAAATTTATTTCTTAACTATTAGTAAAACTAATATAATTATTATTCTAATCCTCCAAATAACACCACCATCTTCCTGCTTTCTCTCTATCTTGACTTAATAAGATCTACTTATCTAGAAACATTACAGTGAGCCCCTACTAGCAGCTTTTCAAATTGGGAAAGCTAAGGTAAAATCCTGATTTTTTGTTTGTTTGTTTAAAGTATTACATATTAACAATTCTCACCAATCTGCTTCTGCTTCCCAAAAATCTTCCAGAATGTGGATGATCAAGTGTCCCCGAGTAGCGAGTTGGAGAGGATGTTGTAAGCTTCCAAGGAGTTTCACGGGTGTCTCTTTCTCCAATTCCCCAGTCTCTACTGGAACTATTCAACACACTGGATTCCTGAAGAACAACATGCTTATCATACGCATCTTGTAACTCAAAATGAACTCAGTATCTGATCTGAATATTGAAAGTACAGGGAAGTGAAGGTACTAACAAATCTGCAAACCTTTCATGAGAAACCTCAAGGGATACCCAAGAAGAAATGAAACAGGCTTAAGAGAGAACCACTGCCAAAAGCAAAGATTTTTTTAAATTACTTTCTAGCAATTATCAGCTCCTTTTTCTGTCCTCTCATTTGATGGTGGACGATCAAAAGTTGAAGTGTAAGTCTTTTGAGGCATTACCCCAACTTAAGATACACCAGCAACAGGGCAGAATTAAGGACCTCACTTTCAAGTGTTAAGTAAAAAACCCACACATGTAGATAAAGTCTCCACAACAGCAAAAGTGGCTTTTTGGCCACTAAAGCAAGCCAGCTGTCTTGTCCTGGTCATCAGTTTTAATACAGGAAAGAGTGGGTGCAAAAGAGGAGGGGGGCGGAGGGCAGGGAAAGAAGAAAAATCCTGTTTTGGGCCTAGTAGCAAATAATTATTTTTACATAAGGAGCATGACCTGTTCTAGTAAAATAGAGGGGACAACAAATGTCAACCATGTCATCAAGTTATTGTTCCTTTAAAAAAAAATACCACACTACTGCAAATTACACAGTATCTTCTCTGAGTCTTAAACACTTCCCTTTTACCACTGCTTAAGTTTTTTATTTCTCTGCAGTCTATTCCAATAATCCATCATTGGATTATCATCATATTGGTAGGGAAGGCTTGGAAATTAGTCATTATTAATTCCAATTACATTTCATGCAAGCAGCAAAAATGCATTTCCATTTTTCACTACAAAATTGAAACTTTTGTGTCTCTAAGTTTCTTATAAATCACTAGCATTGAAGACCACCATAAAACAGTAAACAGCACTGGGTACAAAACCACTTTGGGCTTAAGAAATAACGTAAATAGTTTTAGTAGCCCATTTCAGGCACAATGCAAAGATACTGAATCCACAGCTTGACATGCATAACAAAGACTGTTTGGCAAAACAGCCCTGCAAATAAACACTGTTTGCCGCATTACTTCAGAACAAAGTGCTCAAATTATTTTAAGTCTGATGTCTGCAGGGCAATGACTGTAACTGTTCTTCTTGTGTTTTCTCTTCCAAGACACAAGAGCTCTAATCTTTACCGTGGCTACACAGGCAAGCTTCTAATAATGAAACTGGGAACTGTTTAACATGCAAATCTGTCTATCTTTAATAGAACCTAAGGCATGAGGTTCTACGCTACTACTTTCACTGAATTTCAATGAATAGATGATAATTAAGGAAAGACATCGCAATTTAATCTGCTCCACAGAATAATCGTTGAAATTAGTAGAATTAATAGAAATAACAGAAATCCAACCATTTTATTACAGCTAAGCAGGGTTTGTAAATGATTATTTATCCACCCTCTTTCTATGAGCTATTAATAAAACTACAGTAGTTTCTGTCACTATTTCTTCAAAGTTGTAGTATTAGGATTTAAAAAGCTGAAGAAATATTCATGTTCATCATTCTGACAAGCAAAATTAAACCTGAAAATAAAGTATCAGGCAGTAAGTTTTCTAGTATTTCAAAGTCTTAGTAAGATTCATCAGGTTTCGAAATTATTTCATCTATGGATACTCTCTGCCCCTGAGAGCAAGACTACATGACTTTAAGATAAAGGCAAAGCTCCCTTAGTTAATATGAGCCACACCTGCAGACGTTAACTGATCTTGAAATACTTGCCTTTCCTTTTTCTCCAGCTGTTAGACTCTGAAGATCTGAGAATTTAATCTCATTTTAAGTGTCTGGATCACCACAGTAAAGACCTTAATCCAAGAACAACCCACTCACACTAGCACAGCACTGAAAGCCAGTTCATGGAACTACACCATCTACCATTCTAATGCCAACACAGCTTTTGGTAGCTGTGACATCGCTGCACTGCACTCATTTCTTTGAAAGATGTCCCAAGACCAAAATAGAAAGAAAAAAAAGCAACATACTGGATATCAAAAAAGTGGCTTTAAGAGAAAGTAGACGACCAGGCATGATGTCAGGAAAGCTCAACCTAATTGCTATATCTGCAACTAAAAAAAGATCTCAGTTTGCTTTCTTCCTTCGGTTCAGCTTAGGACTATTTCATATCCTTTGTCACAACTTAACAATTAAAGCATTACACGAGGTATTCTATCTTTGGTGTCTGTTTTCAGTAGCAGAAAAACGTGATCGGGAAAACATTCAAAACAATTGTATACACCACACTTGACCCTATCACTCCATTAAAAAACAAAATCCAAACTTCCACTTCATTTCTCACAAAAAGGTTAACAATGCTGTATCATAAAGCAGAGGAAATTTTTTTTCTCCTACTGTTACACTAATTTGATTTTTGTATTGTGAGTCACCTAGAAACAATGCTACGTCACATACATCAGATTAATTTGCAATTAACCTGCTTGTTATGCCTCCTCAGATGAGCAGAGGCCACTACCCAGACTGATCTCAAAAGTGTATGACATACAAGAATTTGCACCTATATGGGGAAAAAAAAAAAAAAAAAAAAAAGGGAAGGGGAAAGAACAAATCCATCCGATAGAAACCTACCTACCTTTTTTTTTTTTTTTTTTTTTCCCCTTACAAAAAACCAAATACTGGAAGTTTGAATGCTCTGTATCCAGAAGTTTTTGAGTTAAGCCATAATCAAGTATGGTCTCTAGCTGCAGAAATGAATTTATGCTAAAAAGCCAAGTCTCCAAGTTCCCTTTCCTCTAAATACCCAAAGCACTACTGATAGTCATACATTTTTTCTTCTAAATGACAAATCTTTTAAATGATTTGGAACTGAAGTAGCTCTTAATATGTTAAGGTAGGCTTCTGAATGGATTAACAAAGCAAAAAGGCCTGCCCATTTCATTCCTATAAGACTGGACTTAAGCTTATTTCTTCTTGCCCCAGCCACTTGTAATCTTAACCTGCAAGCAATAATGGAATTTGATCCTAACAGCTCTGTAAGTACCAAAGGTTAGTCAAGAGAGGGAGCTTCCCTGTACTTTTATCACTAAGCACTTGTCTTGTGTAACAAGCTCTCAGACTACCTTCTATGAATTGGAGTGGAAAGAAGGGATACAACATCATCTTCTATACAATTATTTCCCCTCTGTTCTAACTGCAAAGTGTTATAAAGATCACTGCTCAGATTAGAAGCACCTTGCTCAACAGGAAATAGTCAAAAGATAATATATAGTGCAGTGAACACACTGCAGTTCATGTAATAAATGAAATAATGTACATAACTCTCTTGTGTTATAATTTCATAACAGCAGTAACACATCTAACTTCACAGCACCAGTTCAGCTCAAGACTGATCTTCTTATCAACAGCTTTCAGTGTGGTATGTAGGGTGTGTGAGTCCATAAACCCCTACAACTATCTGATTTGGTTTGGATCCTAACACTATCTGATTTGGTTTTACTGAGCAGCCAGCCAGTGAAGAATGTGCACTATATGAACTAATGAACACATGCATGCTAGATGTGGCAAATATAATGCATATACATGTAACTGTGCTAAAAATAATTAATGCTCTATTACTTGTAAAACTTTCTGGAAAAGGCATTATATAATACAATGTCCCAGACAGTTTGTCAGCAGGGACCAAATTCATAACCATTTTATCAAAAAATATGAACATTTAATCATGGAGTCAAGTTCTGCAATTTCGAAGACCACGATGGGCTTACATTTCTGGGCCCAAAATTGAGGTGAGAACTGCTGACAGTAGCAGAAAGAAAATAACAAGAGAATTGAGCCAAACAGCAATCTGTTGTGTCCAAGTGCCCAAAATAATTTCTGAAGCAGTTTAATCTCTACTTCCCATAACACTTTCAAAGTGAAAGTGCCTGCAGTGTGACTTCTTATTCTTGAGCATGGCTCCCTTCCGCCACAAAAGCAACTTGGTTAGTGTAAAATGTTGCATGTGAAACAGCAGAGCCTTTACCCCAGTCCTGTCTATCACACACAAAGGCTAGCTGTATTAACATACTGACATGACAGTATGATGTAAGCCTAAAGGTCCTCTTCTTACCTTCACAAAATGCAAAGTAGGTGCTGCAGAGCACTACAGCCTACTGTCAACTCTTAGAACCGCAACATATTCCTATACTTTTTGCATCATCCACCCATGAAGTGTAACACCCTATACATATCAAAATACAAACAAAATCCCCACCTCTCCTCAACAGAAAACCCCACTTACCCAGGATTAAAACTGCAGTGACTAGTGCCAAAACAGACCCATAGTATCAGGATGCCCTTCATTCACCTAACATCTGATTTTTAAAGGTGCAGCTACAAACAAAGCAGGTAAAGATGGCAAACCTAGAACTACCAGTTCACACTGCAGAATACTGTCATTGGCCTGGTTATTAAATCCTTGCATTTTAGAATTAATCTTGGGTTTTGTTCACAACCGTGGGGCTCTGGGTAGGACTTTTCCTTATATTTCCACGCCGTCCCCCCCCCCCCCCCTTTTTTTTTTTTTTGTTTGGGGTTTGGGCTTTTCTGGGTGGAAAACAGACATTAAATTAATTTATACTACACAGAAAGAGACAAAACACATTACCTGGTATCCAGATTCTAATCTCCGTGAAGATTCTCTTGCGCTATATGCACCAGCTAAACTGTTTCCAGTCAATGTTCTAGATCCTAGCGATGAGCTGGAGGCCTGAACAGATATCCTTCGAGGAATTCGTGAGGGTTTTGACTCCATTCTTTTTATCCTGCACAAGGACACACAGATCATTTTTTCTTTTAGAAGCAGGGACCTACATGCAGAACATGCACAAGTCATTCCGAGTACATCATAAACATGACTCGCACATACAAATATTTACACAGTGCTCTGGTCTGACTGTGCATCAGTAAGATGGGGAAATGAGTTCTTACCCTAGTTTTTATAACCTCTTCTTTAGATCTCCTCCCATTGCATGTTAGAAAACTAAAAAAAAAAAGCCCTTTTTGCTTTTTCTTATTATATTAGAATATATTATTGATATTATATTACAAGTGGGACTCCCTTAAGAACTCTGCACCTCTAGTATTAACACAAAATGAGCCAGGACTGAGGGAAAGAATCCTCAGATTTCCTAAATTCTTATTTTACTTGTTTGTTAATGAACTGCACCTCAACACTTGCAGAAACTACACTAATGTCCTGGTTTCAGCTGGGATAGAGTTAACTGTCTTCCTAGTAGCTGGTACAGTGCTATGTTTTGAGTTCAGTATGCAAAGAATGTTGATAACACTGATGTTTTCAGTTGTTGCAAAGTAATGTTTAGACTATAGTCAAGGATTTTTCAGCTTCTCATGCCCAGCCAGCGAGAAAGCTGGACGGGCACAAGAAGCTGGCACAGGACACAGCCAGGGCAGCTAACCCAAACTGGCCAACGGGGTATTCCATACCATGTGACGTCCCATCTAGTATAGGAACTGGGAAGGGGGGGCAGGGAATCGCCGCTCGGGGACTAGCTGGGTGTTGGTCGGCGGGTGGTGAGCAATTGCCCTGCGCATCATTTGCACATTCCAATCCTTTTATTACTACTGTTGTCATTTTATTAGTGTTATCATTATCATTATTAGTTTCTTCTTTTCTGTTCTATTAAACCGTTCTTATCTCAACCCATGAGTTTTACTTCCTTTTCCTGATTTTCTCCCCCATCCCACTGGGTGGGGGAAGTGAGTGAGCGGCTGCGTGGTGCTTAGTTGCTGGCTGGGGTTAAACCACGACAACTAAGACTTATTCTTCAGGGTCAAAACTATGGAACTTCGCCCTCCTGCGAAAAAAAAAAATACAGTTGCAGTCCACCCACCTCAAAGATATATTTAACTTCTCCAAAGACAACTCCCATGAAAATTAATTTATACAAAAGAGTACATGCTGGCTCACAGGTGTATATATAAATTTACCTTTGAGTCACTGGGTGTTTATTTGGTCTTTTGGTATTTCAAGGCATTTCAAAAGAAATGCTCATGCCTTTTCTGCATGAGAAGTGATCCTGCAGTCATTCCTGTCCTTGAAAGGATATCTTGACTTAACGTTGCTCAAAAGCTCCAGATAGCTAGCTAACTGGTTTGCTAACATTCACAGATTCTCCCTCCTCAGGATGGTAGAGACAGAATCAGACCACAAAAGGTAGATCTTAAATAAAAAATTTAAGAGAACTGCAGTATACTCAGTGGTGTGGTGTGGGAAGAGTAGCATGATAACTAACAACCCTAAAACAGATACCTGAAAACTCCACTGATACAAGGTGATTTGCAAAAGTGGTACAATCAGGGTTTTTTAACCACTTAATTCTGGCCTAACCTTTTCTGAGAACAGGAATAAGCTATATCAGAAAAAAAAAAATTATCAATCAGTAAAGTACATTTTTTTCCACACATCAGCCATGCTCATCAGTAACACGGTCTGTGAAAAGCTGCTGCATCAATCCTGACATACCTCATGTGGCTGCAGTTTCAAGTTGAGTTCACATACTCAGGACTTTTAGTCTTAGCTGAAAGTCATGCTGCATTACACATTCTACCTGGTACAAGCTACTTTGTACAGAACTCCATTGACCAAATAGTTGGACAGCTGAGGTTAATTTCCTTAATGGAAGGTTTTTTAACCACTGTTCTGGTGCACAGTCCGTTGCTAGCTTTACAACACAGGTCACAACATAAAGTAGCCTAAATGCTTAATCTTTCAAGTAGGGCTCTTTTTTTTTTTTTTTAAATTTGGAAAAAAAAAATTGTAACATAAAGCATACCAAATTTAAGTGAATGTTTACATTCATGTACAGAAGAGCTACTGGGTTGTATTACGGAGATGCACAGCAGCTTCTAAAGCATGCTTCAGACATTAGCAACCCATTTGCTTTTGCCAGAGACATCACCAGTTAAACAAGATCACTTCAGGAATCTGAAATTCTCACTTGTCTAACTTTGGATTAGGAACACGGAATCATGAATTTGTTACATTTCCCAGATCACATTTAAACCCCTAAGTAAGTATTGAGCAGTTGTATGGAATTCTCAAAGTTTTAAATACAGCTCTATCAATAAGAATGCTCTAAGCAGTGTTCCAAAGTACAGAACAACACTGTCAGTCATGGAAGCTTAAAAGAAATTCAGTAAGGACAAACCTAATAATCTAAGCTACACCACTTAGTGGATCATTTGTGCAATAAAATGTAACAATCGCATTTCTTTGTATTTGTAACATTAGATAAGACACTGTAAAGATGGTTAATTCAAGCTTTAGCGTAAGCTGCCATAATGTGCACTGCAAGTTTAGTACTTGTCTGAAGCTGCACTGAGTGTGAAAAAGTAACTGTTCAAGTTGCAAACTGTGAAGCTAAATTAATGTTATAGCAATACAGACTAGAGCGTATGCTGAATAGGACAGCTGTAGGTCTTGAAGAGATCTGACATCCAAAGGACTGTTTATCTACCTTTTACCCTGATACAAAATATAAGGGACAGACACACAGAACAATGGATCCAATTCTGTACTGTTAAGTACTTGACAAAGAGCACCAGCATTATCCCTTTTGTTAGGGATCATTCTGTTTCTGGATCACTTTGCTTCAGGTAGGTGTGGAACCAGATGAATTAAATAACATAGATAGAAGTCAGACACAGACATATGTAGAATACACAAAGGTTCTAAAAGAAGGGATGGAAGCTTCTACCGGTAGAAATTAATGTCCAGACGAACAGGGGGAACAGACAGAAGTGTAAGAAGTTATAAGAACTTCAAGACTAAATTAGAGATCATCTAATACTAATAAAATTGCTTATGCTCCATCCACAAAACAGACAAAAGAAGAGCATTCAGATCAGAAAGGACAGGGTGGAAGACTGTGGACACCAGAGCCAACTATCTCTAGAAGCTAAAATGGAGTCCAAGATTAGCAAATTGCTTCTACAAACATACATAAAAAGGCACAAAACTAATTTTCTCCTCCAGTGGTAGCCCCAAGAGGACAATGCTATCAATCAGCTTTATCTCGTAAATTAGAACAGGTTGTGATTTCAACCTGAATATGTCGGGATGATACTATCTATATAATATTTTCTTTCTCAAAGTAAAGAAATCTTGCAGAAAGTATACACAAAAAATGTGTTAAAACAAGATAAAGGCAGCACATTAGAAAATGCAAAATTTCATATGTCAGTTTATGCATATACATTATGATTAATTTCTTTAATACAACCATACATTTCTTCTGCAGTCCTGGCCTCAGCCAGCAAACAAGAAGGATCTGCTATAAAGATGAATCAGAGCTGTGTAACAACAGGCATTTGACAAGAGGAACCCTGCCTTGTTTGATACAGAGGTGGAAAGGTACTGAAGAAAAAGCCTTATGGTCTAGGCAAAGAACTTCTGCTCCAGGAAACTGCATTTTAACTCCGCTTTTCAACAAAGATTCAGTGCCATGAAGCATGTAATCCAGATTAATCATATTTTAGAAACCACTACACAAGAGGTCTTCAATTTCTGGGCATCCATCCATGTGCTTGGAATCCAACTTGCAGAAATCATGAAAGCACATATCTGCAACCAAAGTCAATGGTGCCATGACTTGAATATATTAGATAGATTAGCTACTAGGCATCTCAACTTTGGTAATCAGTACTAGTAAGAAGTCTTCTGGGGTTTTCGGGTGGTGGTTTTTTGGTGTTGGGGTTTTTTTGTTTGTTTGTTTTTGTCCAGAGTTCTTTGAAAACCATTTTAAGCATTGTACCTTGGAAGCTTGAGAAGCAACCATCTTCATAGTTGGCTTGAATACACACAGTACATATATAAGACACATGCTGATCATGGTAACACAATGAGGTGGTCAAGGTGAACGTGCTAAGCTATCACAGAACACAGGACAGAGCGAGACAGTAGTCTCACAATAAAAAAAAAAATCGTATTACTAAAGCCACAATAATACTTGTCTGCAAGGGGAATATCATGTTTTTAGAGGATATTTCAGAATGAGAATGGTTCCCCTTTACAGTATCAGTATCTTAAGCATTTTTTTGAATGAGCACAAAGACACTCAAATTAAAATCTCAAACATTTTGTTTACCCACACAGGAATGCAACAAATCTCAAGTGGTAATTAACATGCTGTAATGAGTTCTATAATGACAAAGTAGTCACCTCAATTTACACAGAAGGTAGTGAGGCCAAAAAAATACCTAAATGACTTATCTGAGGAATTAAAAAAAATTTCAAAAAAAAGAAGTCTAAGTTGTGTTGCAGTCTGAACTGATTTAAAAGCCTGTTGTTGCCACAAAGAAAAGGAACACCTTACTCAAATATGACCCCTGCTGTGTCCTTCGTTGAGCAACTTAAACACACGATCCTAGCAAAACACACTTCAGGCTTCTCCATCATTTTGACACTATTCATGCTGGTATCCAACAACAGAGAAATGAGAAAGGGAACAGCAGGGTGAGAAGCACTCTTGTCATCAAAACAACGTATTTCATCAGCTCATGCCATGTTACACAACTTAGCCATCAAAACCTCATGGAAAAATCGGGAAACAACTCTTGTGTCTCCTGGAATAAGGAATATATATGATGCCTCTCAAGACTTGGTAAGAAACCAAGTTCTGGAATCAAACTTTAAAGTTGTACCTGGGAAACAGATGACAAGCTTTTAATGGCAGGTGGGAGCTGAACAGCCTACTTTGAGTATACAGCTCAAATGTCCTGCCCTTCTTGATTTGTCATCCCTCCAACCACATTACAAAAGATCAACTAGACCTAACATAGCCACAGATAGAGGTAACAAGAGATGAAAGATCCAAGAGGTCTTTGCGGGAAAGCAGTGCAATCTCAAAAGGCAAAAATAACACAAAGAGCAAATATTTCAAATAAAAACTTCTCACTCCTCCTCTCTTCTGCCCTGACCCCCTACTGCTGAGAAATGAGAGGCAGTTTGAGATAGTCATGTATGTCTACCAGTATGGGAAGCCTTTACTAGCTTCTATGTTTTCTACTAACAGCTTAAAGCACTCTTGTACCCTCAACCAGGGCGAAGCACACGCTTCACTCCCAGCTCCCAAGTTCAAGTTTTCTACCTCGGAACTAGGTGGTGACACTTCCACCTAACTCTTGAGCTTTTGTGTCTACAGGTTTTTGTATGGTTCGGTATACAACTGTTCACGAGACTTTCTCCCGAGCAACTTGTGATCACGTGCCTTCTCCGGTGTTTACTCACAATCACGTCTTTACGACAAACAAGATGGAGTTCAGGGACAATTCTCTCAGTCTGCGCAATTCTTTATTCGGGGTATTTTCTCAACCTTCAATCGAGGAAGGCTGACAAAAAAACCCAGCAGCCTCTCGGGAGTCCCGCGAACAAGAAAAACGTTTACGAATGCCGATCCTCTGCCTACGCTGCAGCGGCTGGTGCCATGACGCTGGGCTGTGCCCCCAGACCGGAGCCAGCAGGCCCCAGGCAGCGGGTGCTCGGCAGAGCCGCTGAAGAGGGCACTTACCCTCCTCGCCAGGCTCCAAGGGAGAGGCCCGGCCGGCCCGGCTTCGGACGGCCGCACCCCTGCTGCGCCCGCGCTCCCGGCCAAGGCCGAACTGGGGCCGGCGCCAGGCTGAAGGGCAGCGCCGATCGCCCTGCCCCGACCCCGCAGGGCAGAGGCTCCTCGGAGGGAGGAAAGGAATGGGGTGGGGGGACAGAGGGCACAGCTCCGCTGCCAGAGAAGGCGCGGAGGCCTGCGGCCGTCCGAGCTGCTTCGCAGAGAGGAGGGCGGAGGAGCCAGGCGCCAGCCCCGAGACAAAATGGTTCCCCCCAGCCCTGGCGCGGAGCCGCCGGCCCCGGCGGCGCACGCCACCGCTAGCTGGGCCGTACAGGGACATCTTCCCCTCCTCGGCACCGTAAGCGGCCTGTACTCACTCTCGCGGCACAACCCTCACGCCGCAGACATTCAGGGGCTGAGGATCCACCGGAGGGGCCAAGTCGGGCCGGGCCCACGGGCTGCCACGCCAAGGCGGCCGCCTCTCCCTGCAACACAATGGCGACAGCCCGGACCCGCACGACTGTCGATCACCGCCCACGCCCCACCCATGCCCAGCTCTCGCGAGAACTGCGGCGGGGGTTGCCGGGGTGGGGGGGAGCCGAGGCGGCGGTTAGGGCTGGTCACTTCGGCCGTTGGAGATTAAAATTACAGTGCTCCGCAAAAGGAAGGCGATCTGAAAAATCCTCACATTGAAGACAGAATTCCTTTTCTTTTTGTGGGGAAACGCCCCGAAAGCCACGGTTTGAATTGACTTTCAAGTTCAGCGTTCAGCCTTAAAACTGCAAGCAGAGGTGTTGAGTTTTCTCCCTGTGCTGCACGCTCTCTCTAGTTTCAGTATGGTTTTGTAAATAAATCCCCTGTGTCTCTTGAACAGCCACACGCCGTCTGTGTTCGATTTCGGGTCCCTGAAGGACATGGTGGGATGGGGGTATTGGAGAAAGCCACCTCAACTGCAAAGCAATGGCAATGCCATTCATTGTAATTGTATTCAGACTACAGTTTTGTACTCTTGGAAGTACTAGACGTTGGCGGATATTTCTCCTTGAGGGGAAGATTTTGCACGGCTTACGAAATCGGGAGGTAATCTTACCAAATTCTGAAAATGCCAAGCCTTCACAAAATCTCTGTCAATCCTAAACCGCTGATGGTTTACAGAGTCCCTGCCCACCGCAGAGTGTGGCAGAGATCTCACGCTATTGTGTTTTCTGAACCAGGCTCTGAAGACGACATGGTGTGTTATTACTAAGGAGTCCAGGCTTCTATCGCTGCAGTCAAAAGTCTCAGTATTTTACTGATCCAATATCCATCTGTCATCAGTCTACATACAGCAGGGCTTTCCTGAATCTCAATGTCACAGCGAGTGCCCTAGATTGCATTGTTGCAAGTCAGAAAAAGGGGTGCACAATAGTAGCTGACTGGCCATTCTTTAAGGCAGGAAAAAAGAAAGAAAAACAACAACAACAAAAAAAAACCCAACCCAAAACCAGAAAACACAACCAGCCACCCTGGCACAGGCCTACAACACATACAAATTCAATGTGTGCATGCCTAATAGCTCTGACAGATCTGGGACACATGTAAGACCAGCTAGGCTGGTTAGAAACTAGCCAGGTGGCATCTCTAAATTATGGGACAGTCCTATGTTTAGCAATATCCTTGATTCTGTTTCCCATTCATGCTTTTAAATGTGTTTTTCCATGTGTTTGGATTGTGATGGGTTTTGTACACTGGTTCTCTTCCATAGAGAAATGGTGGGCAAAGTACTAGTGAATTGGAGATGAGGACAAAGGGCTGGGAAGAGCTGTAAACAGAGTGAGAAGTAATTGAACAAAAACTGGTAGGAGAGAAAGGCTGCTGGTTTTTTGCTGATGGGCATGTTGCCTTTCACCAGCATGCCCAAAGCAATGCTTACTGGACTTGGAAAAATCTTGTCTATAGAAGCCAGAAGCAGGCTGCTGCCCCTGCCAATAACATTTATTTGGCGTATCCGTCTCCAGGGAAAGAGGACAGCTGGGAATGGACTTCATGAATCATTCCAGCAGTAGTGGCTGCCCTTTTTCCTGGTTAGCAAACAAGAACATTTATAGAGTTAGATCTACATTAAATTAAATCCTTAAAGGAGGCATTCTGTCTTTTAGTCATGCACAAATGAACTGTAATTCACAGATCAAGTAAAACGACTGTGTGAATGTAGAGGACAGAGCATACAGCCCTCCTGCAGCCAGAACAGAGCATAGTCACCACTAGGCAAGTCCATTATGCTTTTCTTTTTAAAAGCAAGTTAAAAGGTAAGTAGGGTAAACTCTACCCAATACAAAACTTCAGAGCTCTTCAACTCAGTCTCACTATCATCAGAAGAGGATTTACTGGGGGTGCTAAGAAAGATGTTCTACCATTCACTACAATAGCCCTGTCCAGTTCAATGCACAATTTGTATTACTTGAGGGTTGATGCAATCCCCTCTTATTAGCAACCGATGAGCCATTTGTTGGCCATACTCTTGTCACAACTTTATTCCTCTTCTTAGAATAAAAAAAATTACACTATCACCTGAGCTCATAGGCTTGCATTTTTTTTAATCTGCATAATGGATCAAAGATCTACCCTGTAATATTGCAACACTGCATAAGTAAATTAGTTTAATTGCAAATATACAAAATTGGGAAAGGTTAAGATACAATGATCACCACGTTTGACAAAGACTTCTCTACATTGTGAATCGCTGCTAAAATGGCACCATCTAATGAGCCTGGAATACAGTTTGGGTTTTGTCTTAAGGAAAATGTCAAAATGTTGGGTGTTAGTGGCTGAAATCACAAAAGCCTGTGTAATAATGTGCTTGTAAATGGCAAAGCAGGAGGTTTAGAGTACAATCAGCTTCATCATGTCCTTTAACCATATCAAGAATATGGAAATAGGCAGGTTCAAGTCAGGTAATTATTAACAGATTTACTACCCCTAACTGTCCTTTCTTACATCCTCTCACAAAAGCTGTTTTTCCACAAATGACTGAACTTTTCATAGAGTCTGTCCTTAACTTCAGTAGATCATACTCTGAAATTTTAAGATGGTCTGAAATTGGTGTTGTCTAGTTGTCTAGTTTCAATCTACCCATGTTAGTAAGTCATTCTTAAGTCAAATTCACTTCTAATAACTATCTGGAGATAGACACTTTCCAAAGAGTTTTCATAACATTTCTGACCAGAATGCAAGATTTTTATTAGGGAGCACTGATTTTTTTTGTTTTTTTTTAATGCAGTTTAGATTGCATCTTGTATATTCATTTGTTATGAAGGAATTTCTATTGCTTAACCCAGGCTAGAGCAGTGGAAATTACTCCTTTGATGATGAAAATGTCATTGCTTATTGTTATTTAGGAAGAAATTTTTGCTGCTGAAAACCTAAGAAAACTTTGATAGCCTTAAGATATCTTTCTATGTGCCTGAGTTATAAGAATTAAATAACTGCACAAAACCAACACAAGTATATACATGAACACATGGGGCTGAAAAAGTTTTTGAACACGAATAATAGCAATGTAAGATTTTATTGAAATCTATCTGAGCTCTGTCACTGAGGATAGTATGTAGTGGGGAGTACAGTATGTTTTACTACTGTGTTGATGAGAATGGACTGGGATCCAGGAACAAAATAATTATTGTTATTGTGTTATTATGACTAATTTAGTGTTAAAGCAGAGAAGGAAGTGGGAGGAGCAAAGCATCAGGAATTCTTAGTTGCATGTACACACAACAAGGGGATCATTATGCTTTTCCTGTAATTGAAATATAGGCAGTAGTGTTGTCTCTCTCTCTCTCCCCCCACCTCAAAACAACTACTTTATTTATTTATTTATTTATTTAGTTTCCTTAATTTATATTATGTCCATCATTTTTATGGCTAGGAACAAAAGACTGTTCATGCCTTTTTTTCTGAGAATGCGCTATAGGCAAGTTACCTGAAGCAGGCTTCTGTGTTCATCTAATTTGAATGAACTCAGGGGAATCTCAGACAGCACACGATGCTTCTAGCCACGGACTCCTGAGTGCAGTGTGCCGTCCCAGTAAGCAGGTCCAGCCTTTCCTTCTGCACTCTCCTACTCTTTGTGCGCTGAATCACACTAAGCTGTTCTGACCTCCATATAGATGTTCTCATTTATTTTTATGTCTCCCAATGGAACGGGCTGCCCATAGCATACTGCTATTACATGCCAACTTTCAGGATTTGCTTTTTGCCGGTACTTTATGTGAGGTCAACATAATTTGCCTGTATTTGGCAGCAGAAAAAAATGGTTTCATACTAGACAACCCTAAAATATTTTGATACTTTATAACATGTCTATTTTCTGCACTCATCACTCTTTGAGAGAGTGCTCAGCTTTGCTATTCCTTTCCACAATCCCACACTCTTCCTCATCAGAGCCCAAAGCTGCAGGGTGTTGCATGACTGTTAAAAGAAAGATCAGGGAGAGGGAGCAGGGCAGGGGGTGCATTGGAAAGGACATTTATAAATAAGAGACATGGGTGTTAATACTTACGGTGACTAATGAATGGGAAATACTAAGGGGCGGCATACCTGTGCAATTGCATTCCACATTGCCTGTCATGACTGGTAAAGCCCAGTATGCTTTGCATGTAAGCAGAGCTATACTTTCATCTGTTTCTAAAAATGACCATGACTGAAATAAAAATGCAATGTGTGTCCTATCCCTGGCGCAATTAGGCATACTGCAGGGCTTACCTGATAGTTTTGAACAAAACCAGGATCCAGCATATATTCCCACATGGATACTGTAATAAAGGACTTAGTACCATGGGCTATCAGAGCCCATGATGGGCACTAGCTTCTAGGTAAGGATATGGTTTTACAAAGAGGAGTGCTGCTAGTCTGTATTAGCATTATCTCTGGATCTGATGTTACACAGGGTTAGATAGCTCTGTCCCACCACTTGCAAGCTTTTAATCCTTTCCATTTAAGTGGAGTTCCAAGGATAGAAATGTAGGAGTTGGCTCTACAGCTATTATCATTCCTTTATATTAATGGTGTTCCAACTTTACTATTCCTAATAGTTCATCACTCTTTTAATCTCCTAAGTATGTGAAGGAAGCAGGGCTGTTATTGTCTCTGTCTTTACCTAAAAACCAGTGTGATTATGAAGCAAAAAAGTTAGCTTGCTGATCTTGCACTTCTTCCAGCATTATCCCAATGCAGAGAACACACAAGGAATTTCTACACTAATTCCAGTAGACAAACACTTGTAAATACTGCGGTCATGTTTCCAATGCTGTTGTCCATTTATGTTCTGCACCTTTTTTTGAGAGAGTAAAATGCATATGAGTGTGAATGATGAGAAAGAAGAATTCCTACAAAATGAATATTAGGTTGCTGACACAATGTAGTCAATTACTTTTTTAAATGTGCTAAACACAAGTCTTCAAGGGCATATGTAAGACTAGATAATTTACCAAATAATTTTCTTATTGATTTAGTGTTCATAAAATGTTACCTGTCAGCTCTATAAT